TGAGTACACCCCTAAGTGAAAATGTCCAAATTGGGCCCAAAGTGTCAATATTTTGTGCATCCACCATTATTTTCCAGCACTGCCTTAACCCTCTTGGGCATGGAGTACACCAGAGCTTCACAGGTTGCCACTGGAGTCCTCTTCCACTCCTCCATGACGACATCACGGAGCTGGTGGATGTTAGAGACCTTGAGATGCTCAATAGGGTTTAGGTCTGGAGACATGCTTGGCCAATCCATCACCTTTACCCTCAGCTTCTTTAGCAAGGCAGTGGTCGTCTTGGAGGTGTGTTTGGGGTCATTATCATGTTGGAATACTGCCCTGCGGCCCAGTCTCTGAAGGGAGGGGATCATGCTCTGCTTCAGTATGTCACAGTACATGTTGGCATTCATGGTTCCCTCAATGAACTGTAGCTCCCCAGTGCCGGCAGCACTCATGCAGGCCCAGACCATGACACTCCCACCACCATGCTTGACTGTAGGCAAGACACACTTGTCTTTGTACTCCTCACCTGGTTGCCGCCACACACGCTTGACACCATCTGAACCAAATAAGTTTATCTTGGTCTCATCAGACCACAGGACATGGTTCCAGTAATCCATGTCCTTAGTCTGCTTGTCTTCAGCAAACTGTTTGCGGGCTTTCTTGTGCATCATCTTTAGAAGAGGCTTCCTTCTGGGACTACAACCATGCAGACCAGTTTGATGCAGTGTGCGGCGTATGGTCCGAGCACTGACAGGCTGACCCCCCCACCCCTTCAACCTCTGCAGCAATGCTGGCAGCACTCATACGTCTATTTCCTAAACACAACCTCTGGATATGACGCTGAGCACGTGCACTCAACTTCTTTGGTCGACCATGGCGAGGCCTGTTTTGAGTGGAACCTGTCCTGTTAAACCGCTGTATGGTCTTGGCCACCGTGCTGCAGCTCAGTTTCAGGGTCTTGGCAATCTTCTTATAGCCTACGCCATCTTTATGTAGAGCAACAATTATTTTTTTCAGATCCTCAGAGAGTTCTTTGCCATGAGGTGCCATGTTGAACTTCCAGTGACCAGTATGAGAGAGTGAGAGCGATAACACCAAATTTAACACACCTGCTCATTCACCATTCACACCTGAGACCTTGTAACACTAATGAGTCACACAACACCGGGGAGAGAAAATGGCTAATTGGGCCCAATTTGGACATTTTCACTTAGGGGTGTACTCACTTTTGTGGCCAGCGGTTTAGACATTAATGGCTGTGTGTTGAGTTATTTTGAGGGGACAGCAAATTTACACTGTTATACAAGCTGTACACTCACTACTTTACATTGTAGCAAAGTGTCATTTCTTCAGTGTTGTCACATGAAAAGATATAATAAAAATATTTACAAAAATGTGAGGGGTGTACTCACTTCTGTGAGATACTGTATGTCTGCTTCTTCTATTGTCGTGCCTTTGATTATGTTTTCAGTTTTAACAATCGTAATGTTAACGCTGTTGAATAAAAATGTGTACTATTGTCATGTAGTTTATTATAAATATCGATAAATCTAGTCATTCCGCTACTTTAAGAATGAATTGGGAATACATAACGGTTTCACGCAGACTATTGTCTCCATCCACTGAAGAAAATCGGAGAGTTTATAGTGCTGACAAAACCAAATGTTGCATCCCACACATGTATTCATTTTGTTTTTGTGGTGTTACTACTACTAATACAAGCATCTTAAATGAGGGAAACTATCTGAAAATCCCAAACAACTTTTAAAGAGGACCTGATATCATCTTTTTTGTTTTTCCTATGTATCTGATGCAGCTGACAAACATTAGGGACACTTTTTGTGAAACTGAAGATATACGTACATATTCGTTTAATCAAGATATAGTACAAATGTTTATTTCAAAAATGCATATTATTATGTTTTATTTAACTTTAAAATATAGCGTCAAAACTTTGATAAAACAAAGGGTAAATACAAATAAATGTCACACTTGTGTTAAGTACATCCTAATAGACTCTAGCTCATTTTAAAGGCTAAATATTGCTTTACAAAACGATAAAAACAACAATACTGGCTTAAATTTGAACTAAATGATTACTGCTCTGTCATTTGTTAAGTCATAATAATTTCATTGAGTCACACGCATGAACTTAGTGACATGCAGCCTGTAACTTCAGACAGAAAGAAGAATTTACAGTCCCATATATAACGACGTTTTGCTTGCAGTTTTGCAACAAACACAAAACCTAGCGCCCTGCGAACGAGGACAATGCAAATCTGAAGTGACCTACCCCTTGCGGCCCCCCATTATGTCATGCGCCCACAGGGCCCCTCCACAACAGGAGTGCGTTGACAAACGACCCTAAAATGGCCCATGGCAAACTGCAAACAGCGACTTATTTTCCAGTTCCAGTCTTACCTTTGAATAGATCAAACATGCGGTGGTGTTTTGAAGAGGTCACTTATGTAGCCTTTGTATACAAATACCAAAATACACGTTTTTTCGGATTATAAGCGCATTGTGTCCTTTTTCCATCGTCCAGGGATCCGACGTCTCTACAAGCTGTTTAGTCATTGGCTAAGAGCGAAACGTCTTCCTGTTTCATAGGTTAAAAGATATAGTTTATTCATCCTCCGAAAATAGCATTTATGTAACCTGAAATTTAATTTAAGTTAATAGTATATATGTTTTAGTTGATAAAAAACAACATCGATAGCAACAACAATAAACGTACCACGACGTCGTCCAGATGAAGCATAGCATTGTGGGTAATGTAGTTGGCTGGTGTGTGTGCGCACGTTGTACTTGTACGCAACTTTCCCACCTGAAATATCCCGTTCCAGAATGATCCTTTTTTTTCTCCACACACAGGATATTTGTTGCATTTGTAGCAGCAGGTAAAGGTGTTTTCACTTACTGTCATCTACAAGCTAACAACAATGAGAATATCCAACACTGAGTCTGTAAATGGTTTATTTTTTATCTTGCAGTACCAATAACTTCACCCATTGAACCCTTTGTAGGAAAATTATGAATACTTGCACACTTACTGTGGTGGTCCTGTAGGGTAGAGTGGGGGAAACGCCCCCCTTAAGGAAGGTGTGTTTTTTTTCTGTGAAACAAAAGTTAAATGTGTTTAGAAAAGTTATAATAGTTTTAGTGACAGTGACATAAATTATAAACCAAGTAGGCTATGAAAAATGTCCAGTTTTCATGCTGATTTTTAACAAACATTAAATTTGTAGCCTACCAAGGGGCGTTTTGCCCCCCAGTCTTACAAAGCAAATTGCTTTACACATTTACAGCAAAATCAGAGTACATGCAGATTTAGCTTAAAATGATAAAGAATATAATCAATAATAATGAATTGCAAAATTATAGTCTAATAGCCTATTTGAAAAATGTTGTTAGCTGATGCTAACTGGCTAAGCTAACTAGCTACCTGATGCTAACTTGAGGTCATTTTTAATTATAAAGTCCAAATATTTGTATTCAACCAACTAGTTAGAATACATTTGCTGGAAAAACAAAGGATTTGGTGTTCAGAACAGAATAACTACAGTAATTGCCCATTGCCCCCTGGGTGCGTTTTACCCCACAGACTATGTCATTCTGAAAATATAATTAGATTTTTATCAAATAACACGTACTCCCTATCTACAGGCCCTACTGTTCTCATATCATGTTGTTCTACAAAACAACAAGCTTTAAAACACTTTTTTTCTTACTGCTCTCTCCGGTACATCACCAGTGTAAGCTTCATGGTGAAAACTTCTACATTACTCTTGTCAACATAGTCCATAGTTACAATAAAAATGTATCTTGACTTTATCATGTGATTATTTTGGGGGAAACAGTAGGGGGTGGGGGGCATTTTCCGCCACTCTACCCCTAATCTGACCAAGTTTGGACCGACTCTATAGCGCTATACCACCAGTTTAAAAATGCACTTTTCTTTCAGTTATAACGTTTGGACCCTTTGTCCTGAAAATAAATTTAGTTCATGTTCTCATGCTAATTTTACATTAAGACTTGCATTAAGCCCTTTACAGTATAGCTGCAATTTTGAAATGTATAATACTGTGTGAATACTGTATTTTACTGTATTATACTCTTTCAAAGTGTGTACAGTTCTCAACAAATTTGGCTCAGATGGCCATTAGACTGAACCAACTGAGATGACTCTGTTCAAAAGTTACAGTAGGCTAACACAAAGTTAGTGATGTTGACCAGAAATTGGATGAAAGGCTGTACCTCAGTAACACTTCGATCTATTGAAACGAAACTTGGTAGGCTTCATTAGCTCTATGATCTGAGGGTACCTGCCAAATTTGGTGACAGACCACCTATAGGTCATGAAATCTGAAAAACGGCTATGTTTGCTCATAACTTGTAAAATGCTTGTCAGAAATGCACTCTTAAAAATAAGGGTTCTTTATTGGCATCAGCGGTTCCACAAAGAACCTTTACCATCCATGGAAACGTTTCCTTCCACAAAAAGTCGAAAAAAGGTTTTTAGATTATTAAAATGTTCTTCATATTAAGAAAAAAATTCAATGTTCACTGGAAGGTTCTTTGGGGAACCAAAACTGGTTCTTCTATGGTATCTCTGTGAAACCCCCTTTTTGGAACCTTTATTTTTAAGAGTGTGTGAACTTGGTGTCTGTGAGTCTGTGAGAATTTTTTTATCCAGAACTTGATGAATTTCCTGCACGTCGTTTTGAAATTTGTTGTAAATATCAATATAATTTTCATTGTTTTCTTGCTGTAGTTTATTCTGATTCTGTTTATTCTTCACTATTCCTCACATTTAAAAATCTAAATAGTGCCTTTATAGTAGAGTTCTACTGTCTAAGAATTGCTAATAACTTATGTAATTTCAGAGCTGCATACGGTCCGTAAGGTGAGGATGCGTGAGCTTTCTCAGATTAGCTGTGGCTCCTGTCCCTGGCCTCACACCAGTTCATTAGACATGTAAGTGCATTACCATAATCCCAAGGGTTGCGGTGAACCCACTGAGAAGTCAGTCCATCCTAAACACAGATGAATGAGGAAGAGCCAAGGAAGTCTGTGAGGGTTATGGTGTTTTACAAAGCTGGTTTTAGGTCTCCTGCCTGGTTAGTCTGTTTATAACTAAAATCATGTCAAGCGCGGGCATTTCTTTCTGGATTGTCCTGTTGCTCTATGCAGGTAACAATTTCATAACAGTTTTATCTTGTGACATAATTATGGCTTACATTAGAAACTTGTTTGTGCTTTTTGTAGGAGGTTATTTTTAGTAGTCCTGTTTATGGCTTTGATGAAACTACTTGTAGCCTATGAATGCATATTGCTCATGTGATTTTAATAGTATTGGAGAGTATGTGGTTGCAGTGCTTCTATTAAAGCAAATCATCATATTTTGCCCAAAGTTTGAAGTTCATGAAGCATGAAATCTGTAAAAAAAAATATAGAATCAGTTGAGAAACCAGAGTTAACTTGGTATATATACTTAATAGTATTTTTAACAGTATACTTACTGTTGTGTTTACTGACTTAGTTAAAGTTGATCTGTGATTTCATTGGACTTATATAAACACAAAAATAATATTGTTTGTACATGCAAGTTCAATCACTTTAAATAAAGCTGATTAAGATAATTAAATTAAGCGAATATATTATGTAATCATGATTTAGAACTGTTATAATTTTTGGGCCAACTGAAAAAATTATAGGTACACCAAAATAAGATATATATTCTAATTTAATTATACTATAAAAATTATTTTTCAAAGTTATAAATAAAACAAAGACTGAAATGCATTTTACAATAAAAATACAGTCTTTCTACTTCAAAATGTGATGTTTAATTCAATGTGTTACTTGCCTTTTTTCATAATTATTTGTGAATTTTACTAAAAATTTCCGAGTGAAAATGTTCTAAGTAAATCTTAAACCCGAGTGTTCCCATACTTAACCCAAAAACTAATTATTCAGCTGCATCATCAGTGAGCAAACTATATGTTCAGCAGCCAGTTAGTTAGACCCTCACCAACAAACTTAACATTGTAAACACAACCTGTTTAATATTTTAAGTTGCTATGTTAAGTTTAAGAACATACCAAATACTATTAAATTATTGTTGTTTTTTTCATACATTTCATTTAAATTGTTATGATCAAAAACATATGTAATTTAAAAAGAAATCTGATTTCATAATTTATTCATCCTCATGTTGTTCCAAACCAGCATTCAGACTTCTTTCTTTTGTAAAATACAAAAGATGATAGTTTGAAAAATGTCTCTATGTTTTTTGTCCATACTCCATACAGTGAACGTCAGTAGAGTCCAGTGTTATTTTGGACCTCATTGACTTTCATTGTATGGACAAAAACAATTGGGAATTTTAGTGTGTGTGTGTGTGTGTGTGTGTTCCAAAATAGAAAGTAACACAATTTTGGAACGGCATGAGGGTGAGCAAATGATGGCAGAATTTTCATTTTTGTGTGAATGTGATATCTCAGACAGATATAAAAAAAATAAACTATTTTTTGTCAATGATGTTCACGACACTTTAAAACGTCTTGTTTCTTCTCTGCCTCAGGAGTCTGCAGTGAGGAGAATATCGATGGATGCGATATGAACCAGTGCATGAACGGTGGCGTGTGCGAGAACCAGGATGGACAATACAAATGTCACTGTTCCCAAACGATCTATAATGGACACCTCTATGGAGGGCCGTACTGCACAGTTGTGCTGCTTGGCTGTGAACGTCACTGGTGCCAGAACGGTGCCACTTGCTATCCGTACCTAGACAATGGACGGCATCGATACAGCTGCATCTGCCCTGAGGGTTTCACTGGAACGAAATGCCAGACATCCACCACCTTCTCTTTTGAAGAAAGAGGATTCATGCAGGTCCAAACCAACATCACTAATGCTTTGGACCCTTGGAATGTCACTCTGAGTTTCCGCACGTTGCAGGCAGCAGCCGTTCTGCTCCAGTGCCATGTTGAAGATCAGCTTCTTATGCTGGAGTTAGTGGATGGAAGGCTACGGCATTCACTGCAGAGAGCAATGAAAGCTGAAAGTGTTCTTCTAGAGCTCCCGTTGATCGTTTCTGATGGCCTTTGGCACACGGTCAAGGCCTCGCTGCGCAACAACATGCTTGGGCTGAGTCTTACAGACCCGTCTTGCCTTGAGGACACGTGTCGTATGGAAGTACAGATCGATCAAGCAGAGCCCGAACTGGGTTCAGGTCTGTCTGAGTTGGCTGGGATCCAGAATCTCTACATAGGTGGAAGAGGAGAGCAAGAGAGTGCTTCAGGCTTTCTGGGATGTATGAGGGATGTGTGGTTGGATTCACGTGTAGTGGTGCCCGGATTGGGGCCGAGGACTGCCGCTAATCAATTTAATGTGAAACAGGGCTGCAGTGACTGGGACCGCTGCAGGGAAAACCCATGCCAGAACAGAGGCAGATGTGTCAAGACTGGATGGAGGAGCTTTAGCTGCGAATGCCATCGGCCTTATGAGGGCGAGCACTGTTTAGATGGTATGATCGCTCTTACATTATACTACTTGGGTTAGTTTGCATAGAACAGAATTTGATTTAAACACTTAAAGGGATAGTTCACCCAAAAATGACAATTCTGCCATTATTTATTCACCCTCAAGAGGTTCCAAACCTGTATGAGTTTCTTTCTTCTGTTGAACACACAAGAATTTTTTTTAAAGAATGTTGGTAAGTTGCATCATTGACTTCCATGATATTTTTTTTTCCGTTTTTGGGTGAACTATCTATTTAAAGGTGGGGTAAGCGATTTCTGGTAGCCAATGTTGACATTTGAAATCACCAAAACAAACACGCCCCTGCCCCAAAAGGGTCTCGTCCCTATTTTGATAGCTTTGCCCCACACATACGTACACAGCCCAGGCAACGATTAGTTCTGTGAAACAAAGCAAAACCAATGTTACGCCATGTCTACACCGGACGTGAGTGGCGCGGCGCGACAAAATACTATAGAACTCATTATAATCAGTGATGCTGTCTACACTATAGATATATATACATATCTATGGTCTACACTGGATGCGGCGTGACACGAGAAATCCCCGACAGAAAACTGCTGCTGCGTTCTATTCATGACGTATTGACACAAATTTCAAATGATTTTCAACGGTGCGCTTTGTCACGTCCAGTGTACTAGACAGACTTTAGCTGTTGTGGCACAGACACGGTGTTACTCGCCTAACGAGAAGAAACAAAGCAACCTCGGCGTCCGATCGCAGGCCTCCGCTCCTTGAATTCTCTCCAGCGCTAGAAAGCTGATCCGATATTTACACGGGGCCTACTTCTTGCCTTATTGCCTTAAGCCTTCTTTTGTTCCGCAGATGTTTTCCTCTTTTGTTTTTTATCCGCCATCTCTATCTTTCTGTCGCTCGGCTCGGCTAATGTCCGTCCTGTGCACTGAACGCTCTCTCCTCCACATCACGAGTAGACACGCCCCTTACTGCTGATTGGCTACAAGTTTGTTTTGCTATTCGGCCCGAATCAGTTTTCTAAAGCGTTTTTTGAAAAATCTCTTACCCCACCTTTAAGTCATATTTAAACATTTCTGAAATGTCATTGCAGTAGATTTAGAATATCGAAACACGTGTGATCTGCAAACAAATTCTGCTACCTTTTAAATAGAATGTTCTAAAGAGGGGTTTCCCAGTGATATCGTAGAAGAACCATTTTTGGTTCCCCAAAGAACCTTTCAGTGAACAGCTCTTAAACTAACCTTTTTTTTTAAGTGCGTAGAATATTTAAAAAATCTAAAGAACCCCTTTTCCACTAAAAAGAACAATAGAAAGATTCCATGGATGTTAAAGGTTCACAGATGGTTTTATATACTATTTAAAGTAGCCCATTTCTGATTAAACCAAGATAGAATTTTAAATAATTTAGAATGAACATTCATCTTTGGTCACCATTATCTCTACAACAACGTCATTGATAAAACTGCTTAGCAGGGAATCTAAATGTAGCGACCATCGGAGGGTCAAATTTAGTGGCAAGACACAGAATGAGATTAGAGTGCTAAAGAAAACAGGCATCCACAAACACTCAGACATACTCTCATGCCAAAGCAAACGGACTGCAAAGGCAAGGTTAAACCGGCCGCACCTGAACTGTGGATTAAAGAAACGTGATATTAACAGGTGTATTTAATCCTTGATCCTGCCAAGAAAGTAACCACCAGTGATTTATCTGCTCAGTGACAGAGAGCAAAACCAATTTTGTTAGGAATGGGTGGACAACACAACACATTTATTGAATTATTATTATTACAACGACATGTTATTGTATGTTATTACATCAAGAACAACAATAATAAATATTTGTAATATAGCAAAATAATAATGATGATGATAAAACATTCAATTTTGTTATATTTGACTTTGTTACATTTTATTTTGTTATTTACTTATTTATTATTATTATTAATAATAATAATATTTTGAATAATATAAAAATGGTATCTATATTTGGAAACATTCTATTTTGTTTGATATTATTATATGAATGATTACATTATTTAAAATGTTCACAATTCTGAAATAATAATGCTGGACGTGAACCATATCTTTCTTTTTTTTTTGTAATTTGCTCAACTTTCTAAATATGTTTAATATGTTTAAATATTGAAACTTAAAATGTGATGAATTTTCATATATTATGAATTATACAAATGCTATTTTGTTTGATATTATTACTGCTATTACTACTACTACTACTACTACTATTAATAATAATAATGATAAACTCTATATTTAGAAGTACTACATTTTGTTATATTTGACTTTGTCACATTATAATTGCACACATTTTGTTGTTGATAATACTATTCGTGATATTCAAAATATTTAGAATGCATATTATGTTTTTATTGTAGTAGTATATACAGTTTTGTTGATTTAAGCAATAAAAAGCAGAAAAAATCACTAAAAAACATTTTTGCATATCACTTACTGAGCGCATATACACTACAGCAATCGCAGAAACAAACTTGTAGGTAAAAAAACCAACATCTTGTGCATATTCTTTATTGTACCTTTCTCTAACACTGCTGTTCACTTCTGTATTATCAGAGTATGTGACTGCAAGGTTTGGAAGTGAAGATCTGGAGAGCCACGCTGTGTTCACAGTAGAAGACAATCCAGGCGACAGTAACACCGTGTCCATGTTCGTCCGCACGCGCCGCTCACAGGGCTTGCTCCTGGTCCTCTCCAACACCACCAGTCAGTATCTGCGTGTCTGGTTAGAGGATGGAAAGGTCAAAGTTCAAATCAACAACTTTGAAAGCCTGCTTGGAAGTGAAACGGTCAGCGATGGTCACTTTCACCTCATAACTGTGCTTGTGGAACCAGAGTCCCTGTCCCTGTTTATGTCTGCTAAGAGCCAAGGCCGCATCCCCATCCGCAGTGTGCTGGTCCAGGCTGGAGATGCGGTGTATGTGGGAGGTTTACCGGATCGCCGTGCATCTCTAGCCTTCGGGGGCTACTTTAAGGGCTGCATCCAAGATCTCCGTATGAACAGCAGACACCTGCAGTTCTACCCCGTCAGTGTCCCAGTGAGCTCCTACTGGCTCCAGAGCTCGACGAAAGTCACGCGCGGCTGCACTGGCGACGACTCCTGCAGTGTAAGCTACATTTACAGATCCAGCATTACAGCATTGGTACAAAGTTTGGTTCAGTTTGCAGCTTGTTCTGGCCAACAAATGACAGGAAAGGCTGGTCTGATTGACATGAGAAGTGACCAGTCAGAGTTTATTTAGCTTTTAGTTCACAGCAGAAACAATTAGCAGAATTAGCAACTTATCAGCAACAATATTTGAATATTTCAAATCTATTATTAATGATTTGATGAACATTAAAATATTATGAATGACTGCATCATTTACAGTGTTCACAATTTTGGAATGCTTCACTTGAAGCATACCTTTTTCGCAATTAGCTAAATTTTATATAGCCTATATAAATAAATATATACAAATTGTATATATATAAATATATTAAACTTCATATTAAACTTCATTACTCATATATATATATATATAAACTTCAAATATTATGAAAAATTATAATTATTCATATATTATTAATGATTACATCATACACAATGTTTACAATTCTGGAATAATAACGCTTGGCTTGAGAAAGGCTTGAGAAACCTTTTCAGAAAATTTCTAAATATTATAAATATGTTCCTTGAATCATATAGAAAATGTATGCTATAATAGTTCAACAAAGTACTGAACAGGATTATTTTAGTTAACCAAACTACAAAATAAAACAATAATAAAAGATTAAATAAACAAAATAGGCCTATATGTTAACTGAAATGAAAAAAACTTTTTTTCAGCCAGATGCAAAGGCACCATTTCTCATTTTAATTTAGTTGAACTTGATGTGCTAAAAAATAAAAAATAAATTAACTTAAACTTAAAACTTTAACTTAAAATAAAACTGTAACTACACAAAACATTGCCAAAACAGCAGTTTAATCCAATGTTAAAGTAAGTAAACTTTTACATAAAAAGTGTGAAACACTGTGAAGGCAAATAAGATATGTAGTTTATGGAAGCAACTTCTGAATCGGCTGAGGATTCTGTTTATATACTGTATGTGAAAAATATATTTTTTAATTTTCTGTTTGTGAGTTGTATGCATGTTATTTGATTTTTAGTAAAATAGTACAGAAAAACTAAATGACTAGAGCACTGATGATTTTTTTCCTGTCCGCTTTGCAGGTTTGGTCAGTGTTAGCCTCCGCAGCGACAGCCACATAATCACCTATCGTGGCAATGGAAAAATACGGCGATACCTCAGCAGCATTTCAATACATTTCCGTACCAGGCACCAGAATGCGACTCTACTGCATGCTGAGCGTGATTCTCAGTTCATTACCATTTCCATTCACGATGGGCACATAGTTTTAGAGCTACAGGGAGAAAAACAAACCTCCTATGTGTATATCCACAGCCTGGACCTGGTGAATGATGGTCAGTGGCACAGGGCAGACATCAGCATGGACAGCCCAGTCCTCCAGTCATCCAGATGGAGAATAGTTCTGGACGAGCGCTGGGAGAAACCCTCCGTCTCCTTCACAGCCTCAGGAGATCTGGATTTCCTCCGAGAAGATGTGGACATCATCTTAGGAGGCTTGGGACATGATTCGGAGGGTAACTTCACTGGCTGTCTCGGTTTGGTGGAGATCGGAGGCCTTGCATTGCCATATTACAGTGACATGGAGATGAACCAGCCCAGACCCCAGGAAGAGCGGTTTCTGAGGACTTCTGGGACTCCCTACTTCGGCTGCTGGGGATCTAATGTCTGTGAGCCTGACCCTTGCAAGAATGGAGGGGTTTGTGAAGATCTGTTCGACCTTTTCAAATGTCATTGCCCATCTGATTGGGATGGCCAGCGTTGTGAATTTACTGTAGATGACTGTGCATCAAACCCATGTGTTCACGGAGCCTGCAGATCGATCTCAGCTGGATTCGAGTGCTCGTGTGATGCAGGCTACACCGGCCGGCGCTGTGAAACAGAGGTGGACGTATGCGCCCACCACAAGTGCAGCAATGGAGGAACGTGCCTAAGAGGATTGAAACGCTACTCATGTCTCTGTCCAAGAAACACGACGGGCCCTTTCTGCAGGTGAGTATGTTTCCCATGCTCATTACTCACTCTTAAAAATAAAGGTTCTTTAATGGCATCGATGGTTCCATGAAGAACCTAGAACATCCAAGGAACCTTTCAAACGCAGAAAAGTTTCTTTATAGTGGAAAAAGGTTCTTTAGATTTTTAAAATGTTCTTCAAAATAGTTCATTTAAGAACTGTTCTCTGAAAGGTTGTTTGGGAAACCAAAAATGGTTCTTCGTTGGCATCAATGCAAAAACTCCCTTTTGGGGCCTTTATTTTTAAGAGTGCTGCGATGCATCTCGACAGATGAAGTCTTCAGCAATATCCTGTTAGATATGCATGCATGCATGTAATGTTTCATTAATGTTTTTTTTTTCATTTCAGGGAGAGAGTTCCAGAACTTCCATGGTATATCGACAGGCTTCCGTGAGTTTGATTTCTAAAAATAAATATTAATTATCGAACTGGGGGCTAGAATGAGATTCTTGGAGGTCTGGGAAAAAAAGCATATTACACATGTTAAATGTACTTACTATAGTAATAAGTTAAGGGATGATGTTCATCCAGCCAGTAGTTATTACAGAATAAACCCCAACATGGTGATTGCAAGTAAATAATTACAAAATTTTACTTATCACACAAGTAAATAATTAGACATGAAATATTGATTTAAATGTAAAAATATTTTATTAGTTCTTTAAACGCAAAGCTTCCAAAAAAGAAATACAAACGGCCTTGAGCACAGACTAACAAACAAGTTCAGACAAGACGGACATTTATGGCATAATGTACTGTCGAATCACTAATTGCACAGCTTTTCACCACATAAATAAAGATGAGGACACAATAAAATGTTATTTGAGAAGAAGGCGTTTTAAAATCTTACCTGTTTATTACCTTAAAATTGATTATAGCATGTAAAACAGTTGTTCCGGCAGCAAGATGAACACCAATATTTCCACATTAATATTATTTCGCATAAATATTACGAATAATAATATTACTGCAGGTCTACTATTAAAACTGAAGCCCTTCGATTTCATTTGACTGTAAATACAGTCGATAAATACTCAAATATCCAGATGAGCGGTGTGTTAGTCGCCATTGACGACGGTTGATATTGGCAGGGGCAGACTTTGGAGATTTGGATCTATGTGGTCTTTTATGCCTAACCCTTATTTTGCTCGCTCGCTCTCATAGTTTATAGTTTATTTATCCCTTCACAACCAGTAAATATTTAGTCTACCTGATGCTGATCTAAAGCCATATTATGCTAGCTTATTTTATTACAGATTGCAAAAGAAGACATTATAAAAAAAAAAATTTGCACTTCTCCATTTAATAAATTGTAAACGTTCTCAGTCTTTTTACAAACATAAAATTATCCCATGCAACTCATTCCATAGTCCAAGTGTTCTGAAGGCATTCGGTAGGGTTTGCCGAGAAACAAATCGAAAATGAAATCTATTATTAAGCGAAAATCTCCATTCATCGCATTTGTGCATTTATATGAGCGCGCAGCTGTTCAAGAAATCAACAGATACGGATGTGATTGGCTACATTGCTCAACGCTGCAAGTATGTTTCACCAATATCAGATGGGGGCCCCTGATTCCTTAGGGCCTTAAAGGGTTAGTTCACCCCAAAATGAAAATTATGTAATTAATTACTCACCCTCATGTCGTTCCAAACCCGTAAGGCCTCCGTTCATCTTCGGAACACAAATTAAGATATTTTTGATGGAATCTGAGAGCTCTCTGACCCTGCATAGACAGCAACACAACTGAAATGTTCCCAGGTCCAGAAACGTAGTAAGGACATCGGTAAAACAGTCCATGTGACATCAGTGGCTCAACTTCAATTTTGCAAAACTATGAGAATACTTTTTGTGCGCAAAGAAAACAAAAATGACGACTTTATTCAACAATTCTTCTCCCCCGAGTTATGTCTTCCGCTATTCAATGCATACGCATGCTTTCCCCTAAGTGTAAACAACGCTGATTACACTGATTACGTTCATGCGCGTGCTTTCCACTCTAACGTAAACAACGCAGATTACGTTCATGGGTACTCTCCAAAATGGCAGAAGACGTAACTCGGGGGAGAAGAATTGTTAAATAAATTATGTAATTTTTGATTTCTTTGCACATAAAAAGTATTCTCATAGCTTCGCAAAACTGAAGTTGCACCACTGATGTCACATGGACTGTTTTACCGATGTCCTTACTACGTTTCTGTCTGGGAACATTTCAGTTGTGTTGCTGTCTATGAGAGGGTCAGAGAGCTCTCAGATTCCATCAAAAATATCTTAATCTGTGTTCTGAAGATGAATGGAGGTCTTATGGGTTTTGAACGACATGAGGGTGAGTAATTAATGACAGAATTTTAATTTTGGGGTGAACTAACCCTTTAAGCGGCCACTTACCTGGCTTAAATGTTAAGTCCGCCCCTGGTTACTGGGGAATAACACACCTCAGAATGTCACGACCGACCAATCGGAATCAAGTATTCCAAAGAGTTGTGTAGCAACATTAAATTATGCATAATTCGAATCAACTAACCCTAAACCAAACCATTACCCTAGCCTTAAAAGTGTTAGTTTACCCAAAAATTCTGTCATTAATTACTCGTGTTGTTCGAAACCCGTAAGACCTTCGTTCATCTTCGGAACACAATTTAAGATATTTTTGATGAAATCTGAGGGCTCTCTGACCCTCCCATAGACAGCAAGGTAACTACCACGTTCAAGGTCCAGAAAAGTACCAAGATGATCAACAAAGTAGTCCGTGTGACATCAGTGGTTCAACTGTAAAGTTACGAAGCTACAAGAATACTTTTTTTGCGCAAAGAAAACCAAAATAATGACTTTATTCCACATTTTCGTTCACGACAGTATCATTACCTTGGTAGTTACCTTGCTGTCTATGGGAGGGTCAGAGAGCCCTCAGATTTCATCAAAAATATCTTAAATTGAGTTCCGAAGATGTACGAAAGTCTTACGGGTTTGGAACAACACGAGGGTGAGTAATTAATATTTTTTGGGTGAATTAACCCTTTAACCCTTTAGTAAGTTAATTAATATGAATCATCAAAAACACTTACCACTAAAAAAAACACCTACCAAACCTTCATTTTTACTTATTCATTGTGCTTTTAAAAGATCTGAAATTAGATTAATCACAACTATTTTATTCTATTATGATGCTATTTTCATTCTTTCTTTTGGTTTTAGTACAGTGACCATATAAAAGGCAAGGGGGCAATATATTGTTGTTCCTATAACTCTTATTACTCTTTTTCTGTAACAGTATCAATATTTAAGTGTATATCCCTCGTGGGATAGTAAACAGTCCATCAGATGTGCACTTCAGTATCTACCTGTTACTGTGAATTCGGACATACTACTCTTTTCACATACTTCACATGTTTCTTGCTTATAATATCTTATGCCATATGTTGAGGTTTGCTGTTCAGAATCATTACTTTTTGCTTGATTATGCTTTAGAAATGAGAAGAGGTGTTCATAGAACAGGTTTATACTAAGTGTTATCCTTTTATCACATTTTTCTCTAGATTCCCTAAACTTCCTGTGTCTTTCTGCGGGAACGAGAGATGGAACTACAGTTGCTTCAATGGTGGGAATTGCTCTTCTGTAGAGGATAATTGTGACTGTCTACCTGGATTCACTGGACAGCGGTAAGAATATGAACCTGCAGAGGATAAATTGTGTGATATCATAGTAAACATACATGAAAATCTTTCAGAAATCATTCTAATATTCTATTTGGTTGCTTATGAAACATTATTATTAAAAATGTTTGTGCTGCTTAAACATTTTGTGGAAGCCATGAACATTTGATGAATAGAGAGCTTCATCGTGTGAATCTCTCCATCTAAAACTAGAGTCCCTTCAGAAAAACAAGTTTGCATGTAGTTTTGTTTGTTTTTCATTGTTAGGAGTTCAATAAGCACGGCAAAAACACTTCTAGAAGCACCTTTAGAAGTAAGCGTTTGAAATCGGACCAAATTTTGCTAAAAAGTTTACTTTTCCGATTATATTTGTTAAAACGGCATGAAAAACGGTTATGCTCACCAAGTGAATGAATCGCGTTTGTGTCGAGCTCTTATTACAAAGCAAAAAACAAACACTCTTCTTCGATTCCAAGAAGTTTCTCTCAGTTAATGTACGCGATGTCATCTCACAGTCTGAAGCGTCTGTCATAGCAAATCAACACATGCTGATGTGAATAATTAAGCGAAGCGTCTTCTTATAGGATAAGAACACGCAGTCTCATGAATAATTGAATAGACACTGACGCGTCATCGATGTACTACAGTCCATTGCCACGTCACAAATTGTGACGTCAACACGATGTAGATTTTAAACCCGGAAGATGAAAATAGGCAAAAAAGCTTAAAATTAACCAGCTTTCTCCAACAGTTAAAATTATCGGATGCTAACATTGTCTTCTATGATGTGCAACACAAACACCTCTGCTAAAATCTCAGAAAAGTTAGTCTGGGGTTTCATGACCCTTTAATCAATATTTGATTTATGTTAAATCAAACACACAAAACTGCTGTGGTAAGTTTATTGTTTTTCTTCATCAAAACTTAATTACTCATCAAAAAAAAATCGAGTAGACTTGACAGGAATTATTGGGACAAGTTAAATTAATGTAAACAAAGATGTTCTTAAATGTAGTAAAAATCATATTGAGCTGAATTCTTTTGGTCAGTTATACCATTTATTTTTAAGACAACCTTAATGGTGAAGTGTGTAATTTATGTGCCTCTAGTAACACCACTTTGAATTGCAGAAATAAAATTAGGTTTCTAACATTCCTCAGTACCAATCAGGCAAAAGTCCAAAAGCTGTCACTGGGGCGATACCTTTTCGAAAAGAACACATTTGTACCTAATTTACCCCTAAAAGGTGCATATTAGTACCTTAAAGGTATAATACCAGTCAATTCCGTTTGGCACCATTACTGGCACAGAAATTACACCCTTGATCTTTAAACCTCAAACTCAGATTAAGCTAAAGCAGAGAGTTAAAGACACTATACAACTATATTAATTACTTTATTCATGACAGACCCAAGCGAGCAACGCCACAGTGCGAGTCCAACAGCTTCTGCATGCACACACCTTTGGACCTCAGCACAACCCTGCCATTCATGGCCTCAAACATCACAAGCTGACAGCACTCCATGACCCTTCGGCAAGTGGTCTGCTCTCTGCAGAATCCAACGAATTGGCTGAGGTCATGGCAGTGCCAGTGCCAAAGGAGGCTCCTGTTGTAAAGAGGGAGGTCGCTGCACCGGAAGGGCCAGCCTTGGATGCAACAGTGTCAGCAAAACCACCCCTTCTTTCAGGGCCGATTCTCCTTGGTCCCATTTGTCCAGGAAAAAAGAAACATTTCTGACCTAGTCACATTTCATGAACCAACTCAGATAATATTAACTCTTCTTGAGTTCTGAGGCTGCACTAAACTCATGTGCATTCAGGTGTAAATGTTTTATAACAGGTACACGTATAAACAAAACTGGCCTTCTTGTTATGGAAGCAATCAAGGCTGTGCCTGTGTTGTACTGTGGTGCTGTAATAAAATGTTTCCCAGCCTAATGTAGAGGTTTATCCGTCTGTGTTCAGTGTGTTTTTTTCTATAAATGATCGGTTTTCACCTTATGGAATTGTGAAATAGAATATCCCGCATTAAGAAAAACCCCTTAATGCGGTCATACTGTCACATGATGGTGGCCATATCTTCATCATGCTCTTCACAGAAATGGCTTTGAGGAAACATTCTGTCCATGGACACTATATTTCAAATATCCTTTCGATGTGCAACATTCAAATAACTAAACTGAAAATTGTCAAAAAGAATTAAAAAAAAAACTTGATCTAAGAAAATGAAGTTAACTACTCTTTGGTTTCTGGTAGAGATTGATCATGTCTCTCAGCTAAACTCTGCTGAAAGCTGGTTCTCCAGGAACTCCAAAGCAACTAATTTTTAAGAAACAGCTGAACAAATTTGTGCATCTAGAGTCTCAGAGAGATTTATACTTGCGTTATCCTAAAAAAAAAATAAGGACTCAATATAATGAACTCAACACAACTTAAAGACAACAAATCAGGGTTTTAAAAGAAAGGCCGAGAACAGTTTTCCCACTCAAACACTTTTATTATTAGTTTGCACGGTTTCCAGCTCTCCAGATTCCTCAGTCTACAGTGAATGGATGCCTCAAATAACCTATATAAAACATTTAAAAAAAGCAATTTAACAATGGTTATGCTGCACCATTTTGGTCAATTTACAGTACACCGAAAACTGGTTCACCTACCATCTGTTTTAGAGCAATGCATCCTTGTTTGATTGAACACCTAGTGAGTGTTAAATAATTTTGGGCCCCTAAAAAAAAGGATCCACAGATTCTCCATTTGGAGGGAAATACAGCTGATGGTTCTTTACTGGCACAGAGTTGCGAATCTGCATCAAGGGATGAAAACTCAGCTGTGGTGGAGGGTTCTTGCCAGGAGTTTCTTCTGGTTGAAGTGATGCAGTTGACGGCTCAAATGGATTGTGATTATTGGGAGGCTGAGGTAATGACATCTGGGTGAAAGAGTCTTTTGTAAGAGAATTACACCTAGGGGGCTTAGCATTCAAATTAGCAGCTTGATGCCAGTAATTCATAAATGCATTTTTGCTATGAGTTGGAGGCATAGTGGGTTTTGAAGATATGTCATGTTGGAACATTTTCTCAAAAGTGGGACCATTATTTGGAGCAACTAACATTGGCTGTGTGTCACGTCCCAATGGGGAAACATACTGCTGCATCTCAGCCTGGTTAACTGCAGGGTTTGGGCTGCGGTTTGAATAGGCAAGAGGTTCAGCAACTGGTCTATTTTGTGAATGCTCCAAATGGCGTATAACAGAAGCAACATTAGCAGGATTCATTGTAGGCTGTGGAGAGGCAGCAGTTGATTCCAGCTTCCTAAAAATGTAGGGACGCATGGTTGGCCCAGTGAAATGCTTCGAAGTATCACGGGCATCGGTACTCTTAATGGGGGGATTCTCCACCAAATATTGCATTGCTGTATGATCGGAAGCTGCTGGTAAAGCTGTTTTTGTGTAAAGCGGGCCATAATTATAACCCTTGCCCTTAATAAGGGAAAAGAGGTTTGAATCTGGAGATATAACAGATGACAGCATTTGGCCTGTAATTTTAGTCGTACTAGAAATGTCAAAATTAGACATTTGAAAAGGATGACCAAAATGGTGATGGTTATGGTGGTGGTAGAACATTGAAGGGGGTCCAGGGCAGAAAGCTGGACAGTGAAAAGAATGTGCATGGGACGAACTAATTGGAATTGATGAAGCCTCTATTGGGGCAGGAGTGTGAACAACTTCAGGAAATTTAGGGAGTGAAGGGGTAGGATACGTGTTTGGGGTCAAATCAAAGTGCAAGTTCATAGGAGGACCCTTAACAACTGTTCCGCATGGAAGCTCAGAAGCTTGCGGCTTTTCAACTTGTTCAGACCTTTCTGAATATGTGGTGGACATGGAAGCAACAGCCCCAGAGGTGGAAACCGTGTTATTTTTGGGGACAGGTGGCATTTCTGAACGACGTGGTGGGAAGGGTTTGTACCATGGATAGCGGAAGAGCTGTGGTCCTGTTTTTCTTGTAGGGGTAGGTGTAAGCGGTTCCGGCTCTGGTTTTGGTGGAGCATGTGGTTCAGAGGGTCTCGTTAGGGAGTAATTAGGCCAGTAGGGGACCTGAGGAAAGACTGCCGAGGAGGAAGCGACAAATTCAGGTTTTCCAGGATATAAAGGATACACCATATTGCTGGGAGGAAACATAGGTGCCCACTGCACAGGAGAGACAATGGGCACGGTGAAAGGCAACATATCTTGAGGACGGCCTGTGGGTTTTAGTAAGGGAGCGATAGGGGCTGTAGGAGCCTTGGTAGGATGCAACAAAGGTTTTTTTGGATAATGTGGCCCAGCTGCACTTTGATGAGTGGGGTCACAGGGAAGACCCAAGCTGGGCTTAGGGTACCAAGTTTGAAGACGTTTTGTGTAAACAGGTGCTTGTAGCCTCTGGGTAATAGCAGTTGAGGGACCCACAATTTTGGGACCTTGAGGAAGAATCGTTGGTGGTATATTTGGAGGAAAAAAAAGAGGGTATCTAGGAGGAATGGGTTTAAAATCTGGCTGGCCAGGAATGTAATATGGGAGGAGAGGAGTGGGCAATTTTTGAATTGAACTTATGGAAGTTGTTGAACGACTTGCAGGAGTCTGTCTTGGCTGAGTAGTTTTAGTAGTTGTAGTAATTGTGGTGGGAGGGAGTGTTGAAGTAAGAGCATGAGGTATAGAAATACTTTCGTTTTCATGTACAAAATCAGTTGTATCTATAGGAAGACTAAGCGACAGTGCTGGGCAGGACATGTTAAACTCGCTCTCCACTGCCATGCTGAGAGTGAACATCCCATCCTGTGAAGTAAGGCAAAAGATTAGCGTGACGTGGTAAAATTCAGGTAAAAAGTAGAACATTGCATACCTTTGGCTCTGTGCATGGCATATATGGGGCATGGATGACCACACCTTCTGGATGTGACACCAAGCTGTATCCACATCTAGCTGACACTTTCAGAAGAGGCTGCCATTCATTCATTACTAGATTTAAGCAGTATTAATTCAATTTAGACCTGTAAA